TGTCTGGACTTTCCTGAGAGTGTCTTCTTGCTTTACGGCGGATCGCAGACTTATAAGTGCATTACCGCCACCTATCTCTCAAATGGATTATGGTCACTCCTAATTGAGATTGTAGATAGTGTCAATGGTCCATTTGAGAGATAGGTGGCGGTAATGCACTTATAAGTCTGCGATCCGCCGTAAAGCAAGAAGACGACGCCGCCTCACACACCGGCTGTTGAGAAAAACACGCTCAGGACAGACAGTCCGGACATTGCGGTGAAAATCAGAGGTAAAAAAAACGATATAAATACTGTTCGGTTTCTGGCACAGACCGATCGTTTCGTGTCTTAAGACCTCAATGTATCGTCACGAGCCGCAGGGTTTAATTTGGTTTTGTTTGTGTAGGTTTTTTTGACTCTCATAGCCGTGATTCCCATCCACTTACATTATATGACTGACAGCCTGCGACGGTTTGAGTTAAAAATCTCCGTTTGTGTTCTACTGAAGAAACAAAGTCGCCTACATCTTGGGGGTAAGCAGATAAACATCAAAGTTTCATTTTTGGGTGAACTATCCCTTTAATATAGGGCTGTTGTGTTTGTTTTATGTTCGTTTTAAGATGAGACATGATATTCGTTTCCTCACTTAAATTCCACCACAATTTGTAACATTCTAAATCAACATTCGGAGACAACATTAAGGCAATAATTATATAGCATTCTGTCTATGTCTGTCTGTGTGTGTGTGTGTGTGTGTGTGTGTGTGTGCGTACTTCGAGCCTGCCAATCAACATCAGGCTATACAACGCAAGGACATTAGATCAAAGCCAAAAGTGTGAGTTCATGACTACAAGCTTTCTAGAGTTTATTAAGCTAGTAGCACTATTTCCCAGAATCTGACCCACCTACATTTACTGTAAAGGGGGGTGGGGTATCTGCGCAAGGGGAATGTCCAAGACACGTGTTTACAAACGCAATCTCGATTCACAGCACGAGCCGCAGGGTTTAATTTGGTTTTGTTTGCGTGTTTTTTTGACTCTCAAAGCCGTGATTCCCATCCACTTCCATTATATGACTGACAGACTGCGACGGTTTGAGTTAAAAATCTCCGTTTGTGTTCTACTGAAGAAACAAAGTCGCCTACATCTTGGGGGTAAGCAGATAAACATCAAAGTTTCATTTTTGGGTGAACTATCCCTTTAATATAGGGCTGTTGTGTTTGTTTTATGTTCGTTTTAAGATGAGACATGATATTCGTTTCCTCACTTAAATTCCACCACAATTTGTAACATTCTAAATCAATGGGGTATCTGCGCAAGGGGAATGTCCAAGACACGTGTTTACAAACGCAATCTCGATTCACAGCAAAAAAACCATTTTCATTCATTGTGACATTTGCAATTCCTACAAGGAAACAAACAGATAAATAAAAAATACTTTAAGATACTTTCGACATGTGCTCGTTGGTAACGCTGGTTAGCTTTTGCTGCTCACGGATAGTGACAGAGGTAACTTACGCTAAAGATGCGTACGGTTTACTCAAAGAGTATGCACGTGCTGAAACATAGTTTCTACACACTCGCTCCTGACAGCCCACCGCGAGCGGAGTTAGATGCACGGTGCGAAAAAAAGCGCTCATAAAACAGTAGCAGAAAAGTACAGCAATTACTTACAACTCCGAAATGACTTCGACTTGTTGTTTCTTCTCGGCTCTTCAAGTGTCATTAAAAGGCATGCTTTCTCGTTCGTGCGGGGTCATGTCAGTATCAAAGTATCGCGAGAGCTATTTTCGAATCGCACTGCAACGCCTCTAAACAGCTTTGAATCAACTGAACCGATTGCTTCGCAAAAAGATTCAGTTTCGAAACTGCTAGTCAAAGCGATGTGAAACTCAGCTCAACCATGCATAACACGCCTTATGTGTTCTATTGAAAGTGCAATCTATTAAATGGGATGACCAAATAGCGAAACACAATTAAATATGTTAATAAGCGTCTCTGTAATGTGTTGTGTGGCCTGTTTGTTTGGTAACGTGAGCTGGGTTTTTATTCCCTCGTGAGATATTGAGACATTGTCCGGGTTGTTGCATGCATATCTGGTTCATCTGCTCTTTTCTCTCATATAGCGTCTTTGGGAAAACACACAGCTAGTCACTCACGTGAACGAGTGTCTCTGCCTCCGGTTTCGGGATTCAATAACTGAAAATATTAAAGTAAGGGCTCAAAATGTGTAGCGTGCATTATTAGGCCGCATTACTCACCCTTTCATCGCCCCAGTTTCTGCTGCAACCTCACAGTGCAGTTCATCCCCTGCACAATATTTACTTCACATTTGCTGCATTTGCGTTTTATATTCATAGCTCCACAAAACCGATTAAATTATCCAGTGCTTTTTAGATAGTGCGTCAAAATCGACCCGGTGCCTATTTCTGTATTTAAAGCAGCCAACTTCTTAATTCTAGTCTTTGGTTTTCTTTCCTCTTCGCCTTCTCCGTTGACTTCTTCCTTTTCTCTGTTTAAATTCCGAAAATGCTCCACCGATGCCATTATTTCGTCGTGTTGGGGGTGTTGTTTCTGGTAAAAACGAAACTTTGCTCCGAAAATGATTCATTGTTTCGTTGTGTGCATGGTTCACTGAAAGCACGTGACTTTGTCAGCTCGGTTCGAACACAAATGATTCACTAAGGATTCGAAGCTTCAGGAGCAGTGACTCGAAAGCGCACATGGCTAGTTGTTTATCTTTTCCTTGAGCCCCAAGTGTGCCTGTGTAATTTAGATGCTCCGCCCAGCTCCATGATCTGCGTTTAAATGGGTCATAGATTTTATTTTACTACTAGACTTCTTGAAACTTACTTATAGCTAATGATAAAAGGTTAGTTCACCCAACAATTATTAATTGCGCATCAATCGCCCTCATGTCGTTCCAAACCCGTAAGACCTCCGTTCATCTTCGGAACACAAATTAAGATATTTCTGATGGAATCTGAGAGCTCTCCCATAGACAGCAACGCAACTGAAATGTTCCCAAGTTCAGAAACGTAGCAAGGAGATCTGTGAAATAATCCATGTGACATCAGGGGTTCATCAGCAATTTTACGAAGCTACAAAAAAAACTTTTTGTGCGCAAAAGAAAAAAAAACGACTTTATTCGACAATCCGTCTCCTCCGAACACCCTGTAGCGCCAGTTTGGAGAATATCCGCTGGACGTAATCAGCGTCTGCTGTTCTGTGTCGGCTGCGTCACGCCGGATCTGTTTCCTACATTGTCGTGATTTGATCTGAACGAAAACAGCGTATCCGTGTGACGCAGCTGACACATTATTATATTAGTAGGCTCTCCAAAGCTGCATTTTTTTCAACTTCGCCATATCGCCAAGCTCTTTGTTCCTTCATCAGCCCAAAAGATGCTGAATTACTAGTGCATGCTTTAATCACATCCAGCCTTGATTACTGTAACGCACTTTTTTCCCGATTACCAGTACACTGTAAAAAAAAATTCTGTAGTTTTTACAAAATAATTTTGGCAGCTGTGGTTGCCAGAATAAGTTTGTAAAAAATACAGAAAAACAGTAAACACATTTACGGTCAAAAACTGTAAATTTAACAGTATAAAACTGTAATTTACAAACAAGAAAATTTGAATGTAAACCAGTGAATTCAACAATGCACACTGCTATTAAAATCTGTTTTGTACCTTTAACACACTGACAACCACCATAATAATAATGCAGGAGGTAAAAGAGAAAGCCACATGAAGAATCAAAGCTCATCACAAGCAGCTTCGCCACAAGCAGAAGTATATACGAATATATAGAAGGTGCACAGAGTCATTCATGCAAACACTAAACACCATCAGGGTAACACACATGATACTTAAATAATGCATTCAACTTTCATTAAACAACAGAAGATGTAACATAAAGCCCAAATATACATAACTAATAACAAAAACTATTAAAAAAACATGATTAAACAAAATACTTTCAAATGTGGAGTGTCATGCAGGGAATTCTGGGAATATCAGTTTACAGTTTTTGACTGTAAATTATACATTGATTTGTTAGTTTTACTTCTAAAAACTGTCAAATTAACAGCATTTTACTGTAAAATTACCTGAAATGTCTGGTTAGATATTTTACAGTTTTTTTTTTCCCTGTGTATAGTACGGGAACTTACTGTTAACATATTAACAGTTTTTTTTCTGTAGCGTTTTTACAAACTTTTACAGTTAAAATTACACTTATTTTTTACAGTGTACGCTCCATCTCTCGATTGCAATATATTCAGAATTCTGCTGCGAGAATGCTAACTTACACTAAACGGTCTGCCCATATCACTCCTATTCTATTCAGCCTCCACTGGCTATACCTGTGATCTCTCGTATCATTTATAAAATGATTTTGCTTATCTTTAAGTCACTCCATGGTCTTGAACCAAGCTATCTCTCTGACCTGCTTTCTCCATATATTCCCCCATATATTATCTCTGGGAGGTAGATCTTTCTCTGTTATGACTGCCAAACTTTGGAACACATTGCCCCTGGCTCTTCGGACAATAACCACAGTCCACAAATTTAAGTCTAAACTCAAAACCTATATGTTCAACCAATATTAATATATATATTTTTTATGATTACTGTGGTATGCAATGCAACCGCACGTTCTGGACTTGCCAAATGTCTTGTCCATCTATGACATGATTGTTTATTTGCTTTTGTCATTGTGCAGCGTCCTTGAGCTTGGGAAAGGCGCTATATAAATTAAACTTACTATTATTAACAGTGTTTTTCTATTTAACTAAATGTGACAACCACAAACGAGCCACACAAACCTGAATAATAAACACAACCATTAGTGATTGAAAAACATCTCAGCTTTTATAAAGTGAAAGTAAATCTGGTCAACAGGAAAAGCATCTGAGCCACAGTTTTCTGCTTTAATTCATGATACAGCAATGCAAAGCTCAGGGATATATTGAGTTAGAATAAAGCATAAGTAGAAGTTATTTAGCTGATCTGTGATGAATCCGAGATGCATGTTTGGCTGCACTCCATCCTTTCTGCCAACCGCGATAGTGAAGGATTCCTCCTGCAATGACTGTAGCCAGAAAAAACACAAACGCAGCCAGAGCAATGCCACCGAACATCAACACACGCTCCGTCACCGTCACCTCATCTACAGACAGACAGAGAATTATTCATGTTTGTACAACAGAAAGTGCTGGAGCTCCACAGCAGAGCACGAACAATGAATTAAACAACCAAGATAGCAATCATTTACCTTTGACGTCAACTTCTTTTGTCTCTTGTACTACAATAAGACCTGTAAACATATGATCAGTTTACACACAAAACTGTTGTTAGTTGAATATTGAAGACTGGGTTAAAATGAGCTTCAGTAGTTTTTAAGTTGTCCTTTATGCAATAAAATTGATGATGGCATTTCAGGACCTTTAGAATTTGTTTTTCAGATCAAGAAAGGTTTGTTAGGTGTATGTTTGTGGTCTGAAAATTTACTCTGAAAGGAATGTGAAACATTTGTTCAATATCAACCTATGCATTTATGCCAACAAAACTAGTTTCATGGATTAAATCAGAAACTGTTGCTCTGTAAGGTCCCCCTACAATGACAAGTTTGTTAAGATATGATGGAAAGACTGAAATCTGTTACCCTCGATTTCTAGTCGGATGGGTTTGTCGAAGAACATCTCTGGAGCGTCAGACTTTGTTCCACAGAAATAAAGACCTGAATCTGACTCTGTTACTCTAGAAATCTCTAGAGAGACTCTGGTGACCCATGTGTCTGCAGTCATTTTCACTAAAGTACTGTTTTTTTTGTAGTTGGTCAGAAGTTTTCTTCCTGTGTCGTGCTTCTCTGCTGCAATCAGTAGATCCAGTTGTTCAGATCTCAGGCGATACCAGGCGACTTCATATTTGTTTCTCATACTGCAGTTCAGACTGATGCTTTCTCCTTTCTGAACCCTTAACAGATCAGAAGACCCTCGCACTGATGCATCTGGAGAGACATCGATAAAAACAGATCCTTAGACCATGATAAAAATGATAGATATTGTATTTAAGGTTAAGTTAAATGCGTAATATTTGAAATAAAATATATTTACCATTGGATGAGATAATTGGCAGAATCCAATAAGAAAATACACAGAGGAAGAAAATGACTTTTGCCATTGTGTTTGTCGTGCATAAAGGTGTTAAGCAAACTAGAGGTTACAGTACAATGCAGAGACACTAAACCACAAAAAAGTTTCCATTTCCTTCCCAGAGAATTAGTCTCCATCAACTATGTTTTTGCATCAAACTACTTTTCCAATGCATATGCTGTCTATGGTCTATTAGCTTGCATAGACACTCGGCTAAGTGTGTATTAAACATTTTATTAAACATTTTGACCATATTACAAAATGGTTGTTTTTTTTTGGTTGTTTTCTGAGGTAATGTGAGACAGGAAGCTTACGCTGCAATTCTGAAGAAGTCACAGTCGATTTAGCTTTCAACAGCTTCAGTGATCAAAGGAAAGAGTCACAAAACTTTTAAAGCAGCAAAGTCATTTATTGTCATATGTTTAAATATACAGACAGCAGAATGGAACGCCATACTGCATAGAAAATCTTAATTTTCATTCACATTCCCTGAGATACACATGAGTGGAATACATCACAAAATAATGGTAAACTTAAAATTATCCCAACAGTACGCATATTGATGAAGCTCTTTCACCAGATACTGATGAAGAACATTGCCTCATGTTTAATTCACTTATAAAAAAGGTTTACTGTTGTATAGCGTTTCACCAATATTCACTCATGGAGCTTGATCTGCAGTGTTTACTCACTGCAACCACAAACATATTAATGTTCAAAAGCTTCACAGTCACAATTAATAAGAAGGACTTTAGTACGAAACACCTATTAATACATTTTTTTATGAACAATAAGTGCATAAAGTCCACCTAACATTGTACTGCCTCTAGACTGTAAAGTAAATAACATTCAAAAGTTACAAAATTACATTATAAAATTATAAATGATAAAATTCCATATCAAAATACATTATAAAAACAATAAAAAAAAATATACTCTATTAAAAGAAATTGTGAAATTTAGGCAAGCAAGCTTCAAAAAACTTTTTGAAAAATATTTTTTTCAATACATGTTATTTTAATACAGCTTTACAAAGAATAATGCCATGAAAATGCTCTAGTAAGCAATGAAAGGCAACAGCGTGGTGCTACAGAAGTTTAAAAACAAAGTGACGTTTAAAAATGCATGTGACTGGCAAAGGATAGTAACGTGGGAAACAGTTTAAAAAAAGAAAGTTTGCTTGTCACAAAATAAATTACATTAGTTTGACTTCTATCTCAGGGCTTAATGTAGACTAGCATCTAAAGTACACTGCACTCGCATAAAAAAATGCTAGGAGATAAATGTATAAAATTTTGAATGATTTTTTAAAAATGAAATGCTACCTTAAATGTGAAACTAAATGGACCAGTAGATGGACATACATAACTTTTTGCTGCATCATAAAGTCATTCATTCAACAGATTGCTTTAATCAGCTGATTGGGTAAGGAATGATTTGTTGACAGGATCCTCTGCTGATCTTTTGGCTCTAAAAGCAAATTAATAATAACCCTTGCTGTCGTTAGGTGATCTGGGCCCCTGTACAGTTTACTGCATTGGGACCTCTCGGTAGGAATCATGTTCTTTGTTCCTGTTCAGACGCTGATGTATCACGATGACAGTAAACGCAATCAGAGCCCCCACAACACCAATCACAATCCAAACCCAAACAGCTGGAAGGGGGAAGTGGGAAGAGAGCACAATTTTTAAAAAAAATGTTTGGCACACCCCCAGCTGCAGGTGTATGCTGACAGAATCCTGTTGGTGTCTCAGGTGTTCAGGACCCGTGTGCAGAATCACAATCACGTTCAGTGAAGATCATTATAGGTTCTCCAGTTCCTGTGGGGGCTCTGGATTCTCCTGTACTCGCCCCTGCTTATAACCTCTGTGCCGACGTCGCCATATGATGACAGAAATCACAATCCCAACCAGAGCCAGAATCCCAAAACACACTCCAACTGACACAATCCAGTTCTCTACAGATGGAAGGGGGAAGATAGGAAGAGAGCATACTTATTTCAAAAGTTTTTTTCATGTTTAAACAAACTGATTAAAGATTCTGTAAAGCTCTCAATGGCTCCTGTTTTACTTAATATGTTGTTCAGTGTCGTCCAGTTTTCCCTTTGATTCTCTTCTAGATTCTGTAGAGGATATTGAAGGGTTAATAACACAGTTTGATGTTCAGATCATGATGGATAAACTTTAAAATGAAAAATAATATGATTAAACTTCCGCTGAGCTTCTCTCACCCGTGACTGTCACTGTGATCAGGATTTCTCCTTCAGTGTCCAGAACTCTGTAAGTTCCTGCATCACTGGCTGTAAAATTATTAATGGTCAGAGTCCCATCACTGTCGGTCAGTCGATCGCTCTGATCTCTGTCACTTCTGCTCCAGATCTCCGTCCACTCTGCGCTGGTTTCGTTCTGATGCTGCACTTTATCAGCATTGGAAAGAACATCCAACTTCAGCTGCTCGCCGGTTTTCACAGAAACCTCATCTGAGGAGAAATAGATAGACATTTAGCTTTTAATCAATGCTATAAACACATATTTAGGATTGGGGGACCGAATGTAATCATTTAAAAATCTGCCATATTGGAAAAGCCTGCATACTAGGCGAGATGTGTCCCGTTTAGTGTGTATGCTGTTAATTACTAAATATAAATACGTTACCATGAATACAAAGTCGGTACGTCTTCTCCTTTTCTTGCTTCTTCTCTTTTGGATCATTTTTATAATTGAACCTCAAAATATATTTCCCAGCATCACTAAAGCTCAGATTCTTGATGGTGACGTCACAGGCTCCTTTCTTACAGACTCCTTGCACATTTTTATTCTTATTCTCACATTCTTCATTCTGACAGACAAGGATGATTTTTGACTGTCTGATTAAATAAATAATCTCATTGTCCTCAACTTTACATGGCAGTGTGAAACTGTCTGCCTTTTTTCTTGTCACAGAGTGGGATCCTACAGGGGGGGTCTCTGCAAACAGACAGAAAAGTATTAATTCAATACAAAGTATCATTGACTGGTGTTTACGTTTATTGTCCATAATCAAGGTCTTATGCACTCTAAAAAATGCTGGTTTAAATATGGACAAACCCAGCGATTGGGTTGTTTTCAACCAACTCTTGGGTTAAATATATAACCCAACCTTCTGGGTAGTAACCCAACCGCTGGGTTTGTCCATATTTTACCCAGTGCTGGGTTGTATTTAACCCAGCATTTTTTAGAGTGTGCTTAACACATTTCACTTATATCCATGTGGCTTTGACAGTCGTGGACTGATGGTGGAGTTCCCCCATGCAATATTTAGCATCAGTAATGCCTGTAAAGATCAGGGTTGCTGGTTCAAGCCATGATCTGTTTTGCAGTTGTGCAGCTGCTAAAGTTGATCAAAATGTCTGCTAAATGAAAGTTCCTCACTTTCTTCAATGCTAAGAACGGTTCAGCTTTAAGGATAGTATTGTGTCTTATTGGCCTTTCAGAGCCAATAAACCGGCCTCATTCCTTGAATGACTACCGTCCCTTAGCACTGACCCCAATTATGACAATTGGCACAGTTGTGGTAGGCCTCATCAGCAGCAATGATGAAACACTACAGAAACGAAGCGGCACAGCTTGTTGAATAGTGTGGTTGGGGTGGGTGATCTTCCCAAAATATCATATGACGACAGCAGACAGCAGGTTTACTCGCAACGTTCGTATAAGTGCAAAGGTGCATATGCACTGAGTGTGCGAGAGGCGAGACCCTAAGTGTGTCCCAATTCGCATATTTATGCACAATTCTATGCCGTTTTTATTTGCTCAATGTCTTCTGGGGTTTTGGTTCTTTTACTGTTGCACTTTAAATACCTGGATGATGCACTTAAACAACAGAAAAAACATTACAGTCATTACAGTCACCGAGCATGAAAGACACATGATATAATTTGGCCAATCAGCACAGCCTTCTAGTGGGCATGCTTTATTGTTGAAAAGTAGATCGTGTCTTTCTGTACCACTGCACTACGTGTTTGTGTGAATCCAAAATATGTTTAAAGTATATGTAAAGTATAGCCTATGTATAATTACTTTAGGCTGCTTCTTTAAATAGGTTAGCTATGTGTAGGTTTATGTAGCTCCCTGGTCCTGTAAGGCATGACAATTCGATCCTTTATATGTCTCTACAGAGCAGAATGACAATAAAGCTCACTTGACTTGAAAACTGGATTTTTATGTTCAGACTTCTGGAAATACAGCATGATCTGAACACAACTACAGTATTTCCAGTAAAATAAATAAATAATAATAATAAAAAAAATAGCGAGGACCTTGACAAATTACAGTAAACATAATAAAACAACAGAAGCACAACATATGAACATTTTGAACAACAGTTCAAATAATTGATTAAAAAATATTAGCAGTGTCACATTTGAACATTTCTAACGTGTCAGAGCAGTTGTAGTGAATTCCTGAGCAGTGTTTATTAATAGATACACTGCAATTAACTGCATAGATGAGTGTTATTGTGTAACAAGGTGGGGAATTTCCATATTTCCATAATCAATCCACAAGGTCAAAGTCACTTTGTGCAAAAGAGAAACAAACATAACTACCTGACACTGAAAACCAGAAATGGTCACAATTTATAAACACAAAGTACACTGACCGCTGTGATAGACGAGACAAAACAGCAGCAGCAGAAGATTCCAGCATCTGCACCTGATGATCAGACAGAAGAGCTGTAATGTGACACACACAAGACCACGATACAGCCGACTCCATTACTTTCAATGTCGGCTGTATTGATAAAAAATCCCAATAAGAAATATCGCACAAGTAATCTTCATTTTTGGCTTAATAAATGATATCAGCATTGACACGGTGACTCCTCATCACTTTACTTCACTCATTTAGGGTTTAGTTTCCCCACAAACAGAAACACAACTATTGGTATAACAGCACACAAAGTACACAAAAAGCATGAACACTTACATTGTAAACGCTCTGCATGTTCTGGCGTCAAAACATCGCGAATCTCTGTAAGTGTAGCGATACTGAATCTGACAGGTTCAGTGGTCAATCAGTTTCTCTTGAAAACACCGCGAGACTGATCGATGCTTCAAGTCCAGCACACTTTCACTTTCTTTCCATTCACGTGACTTCTTCACTTTGCCACTGCTAGTCTCATATACAAGGGGTGGGAGAAAATATCGATTCTCTGATGCATGCAGGATTCAGGATGTGCGCATTGCTTGCACCCGCCGTTATTTCAGTGTTTTTCTTTATGCTTTCATTGATGCTGTTTAGAATGCAGTGCGTATTAGATGCACGGAACCCACGCACTGACAGACTTTCACGCGCGCTCTGATCAGCAGTCACAAGAAACCTTTAGATGCAGTTATTTCTGCAAAAGGGGGTCACGCCAGATACTGAAAGCAAAGATTCACCTACTTTTGCCACTCACAGAAATGTCACAGAACAGTCATTTTTTTTCTCAATAAATAAATGACAAAGAAAATATTTTTGTCTCATTTGTTTGATTGGGTTCTACTTTTGTTTACTCAAAATCTGATGATGTTTTGGGTTAGGCTATATTTACACACACACACACACACACACACACACACACACACACACACTCACACACACACACACACACACACACA